GATGAGAGAGTTGTTGCTCTTCTTTTCTTCAATCTCCTGTTGAGTTTGTAGGTGTTCAGATTGGTTTGATCCCTATCCAGCTGAATTCCTGAGAGTAGACGAAATCCAGGTCTCCTACTCCTCTGCCATCTTGCTCCGCCCTCCCCCTTTTGTTTTTCTTCTGATAAGAATTACCTCCCTGAATTTTGAATTTTGTACTTTAACTTTTAAATCACAAGGAAAAAATGCCCATTACAGGTCTTTTAAGATAAATTGGGGAGAGGGGATTGGAACAGGTGAACTCTGAGCTGCCTCTAGAGCTGCATTTTTAGTTTTGCAAAGATTTGTAAGATGAGCACAGTTGCTCTCAATTCCTTAAAAGAATAGGGTTGCAACCTAAATGTCATCATAGTTTGATCCACCCATCCAACCACATTATCTTCAATGTGTTTTTTATATCAGGGAGCTTTGGAATGTTTTAGTAAATCCTTTTACAGAGGCTTCAGAAGGTTTTTCTTTCCCTCTGGGTACATAGTTTCATTTTAGCTTAGGGGAAGAGACCTAAAAAAACCTATCAGGCTCTGAATATCAGCTTCCAGGCTGGCCAGTCTCCAACCACAGAGCTGTTTAAAGAACTCTTAAATATCTTGTCATTTTTCAGTCGGGACAAACAGCAGGTGTTTTCTGGGATTAATGGAGTATGCCTTTATAAAGTCTACATAAAGCATTTTAACAAAGGCCTCCTTTCTGAGTGCACATTTCAACCTTAAACCTTTACCTTAGGAAGAAAAGCCTCTCTGTCAGCCCCTAACATGAGCCTTCAGCTGATCATTTGTAGGAAGGCCTAGGAGAAATGCTAGTCATCTGTTTCCCGGTCGGGGGGAGTATTGGTTCCAGGGGGCCATCTGGCTTGTCTGATAACTACAATATAATCATAATCATGGGTGGGAAGAACACCCCTTAGCAGCCAAAGTCCCTATGAGTGGGGTTGTGATGGACATCAATCTGTTTAATTCAACTTAAATTTTAATTTGGTAGGATCCTCTAAAGGTCTATTTTAAGGGCTTTATAATTTTAAAAATATGCTGTTGTCTAGGGGACATGAATTATTTGGGTGGGGGCCTAGGATATAGCTGCAAAGGACATTGCACAGGAAGGCCTGAAGCTGGCAGAGCCTGATTATAGAGTCCTGCAAAACGAGCCTTCTGTATGAACCTTATTATCTACCTTGGGTGCTTCTGTTAAATTCTCTCTGGCTTTTAGTATTTACATGAGTAACCTGTATACCCTAGGCTTAGAGATCAGGCCAGAATGCTCTCTGTAAACCTTAAGGAAAAGGGAAGCTAAAATAAGCAGCTGGGTGTTTAAGGGATTTTCTGGGGAAGGTGGAGGAGTCTGAGAGTTAAGAGAATTTGCTGAGGAGACAGGGCCAGATTTTAATGAGGGAAATTTATGTTGGATGGGGACTTGAAGTTTTGTTCTAAGTCTAATTTATCTCCCCCCCCATCTTATTAAGGGAGTCCCTAAAGCTTAGCTGTTACATCTCTTTGTGTCTATTTTTTTTAACTTGGCTTTTCCATAGGTATCAATAAGACAATTATTTAGGAGGAGAGCTCTCAAATATTGTCAATTCAAAAGATCCATTGTCGGGCCATTGGTGAGCAGGATCTTATATTAATCTCAGTATGACACAAACCTTAATAAGCCTTTTTATGGCTTAACCATGAATACAAGAGGTATCCCAAAAGAGGGTGCAAAAGATGTAGCCCTTATAAGATCCAGAAAGTTTACTTCCAGAAATTTTACTTCCAGAAATAGTTTAAGACAGTAAAGCCCTGTTGCTATGGGCAATAAGAATGGTGTAGTGAAAACGCTGTCTCCAGTTTCCTGTGAGAACATGAGGCACCTCTAGTCACAGACCTGCGAATCTGTGACACCAGGCAGGCACTACTAGAATGGGACTTTTCCAGCACTAACAAAACAGTGAAGGTGAGATGACAGAAACCTTATGGACCAGGACCCCTGTAACAAACTCTCCTGAAGGCTGGCACAGTCGGACAGGAAGTGCTGCTTGTGACTTAAAGTCTCAGAACCCCAGGCTACCGAGGTGCATGTGATATGTGCAGAGAACATTCTCACTGGTCATAAAGACAACCTCTCAAGACATGAACAGGACGAAAGGAAAACCCCTCCCTCCTAGGCACATTAACAGCTTGGCTGAGCCTTTGGTGTCTCAGAGCCAAACTGTACCAAAGAGGGATGTGCTGCTGGGTTGGAGATTGCGAGGTTTTACAGAGTTCCTTGTATGGAAATTTTCTTGAGTTTGACGGGTGACCTAATGTCAGCCTGGCCTGTAGTGTGACTAACTCATCCTAACATAGGAGTCTTTGGGTTAGTTAGGGAGTGCTTAAAAGCTTTTAAGTTCTCAACCCATGCCCACCAGTTTTGCGGCTTTGGCTTCCAAGATGTCCCCTAGTAATTGCCTTCACCTCATGTGCACATTGACCTGAAGCAACATTTGTCTAAACAGACACTGGCCTGGTGAGAACTGTGAACTCACCAGTCTGTGATTCCAGCTTGAACAGCAGGCTTTTAGGGACTAGGCCTGCATTCTACCCTGTGGTTTTCATTCTTATGACAAATGACACAACAGACAAGAAACATAAAAAGCAGTGAGTATCTCTGGGATGAAACGCATGAATAAAAAAGTCAAGAGTACTCATAATAAATCTTTACCAGTCACTATACCCAAGGAACTGGTTCCACAAATATTTTCTCCAGCTAATCTAAATTTGGAAGGGCGGGGCTGGGGGGAAGCTTCTCACCACTTGCTTCCACTGGACCCTGCAGGCAGGGATCCAGGAGCGTGATGGGGTAAGAATTCTTAGTTCTGCCGCACCTGTCGGACGTCCCAGGCTCTCACAGCTGCCGCAGCCCCGGAACACACAGTGTGCAGCCAGTGAACTTTCTCCTGGCTGGCTCACCAACCACTGGGGAGGAAAGGTTTTTCTCCTGACCTTCTAGATTCTTCAGTCTATTAAATTGACATAAGGCAGATTAATAGAAAAGCAAGTTTACATACGTATGGGAAGAAAATGACCCCCAGGGACAAGTTGGGCAATTGAGGCTACGTGTCATCTTGAGCTAAGGGGCCTGGGGGCTTTAAAGGGGAAGAGGGTGGGGGCGCCTGGGTGGTCAGTCGTTAAGCATCTGCCTTCGGCTCAGGTCATGATCCCGGGGTCCTGGGATCGAGCCCCGCATCGGGCTCCCTGCTCAGCAGGAAGCCTCTTTCTCCCTCTCCCTCACTTGTGTTCCCTCTGTCGCTGTGTCTCTCTCTGTCAAATAAATAAATAAAATCTTTAAAAAAAAAAATAAAGGGGAGGAGGGTGATTCACAGGACAAAAGAACAGATGTTTGGTCATTAGATGTTTGCCCTTCCATACAGTGGTCATTTAGATAAAAACTTATCTCTGGTAATACCTCTCTCTCTGGGCCAGACCCCCTACTTAAATTCTTTTAGGTAGTTAAGGAAGAAGTAAAAACCTCCCCTTCACTAGCATACAGGCCTCCCCTCAGCAGAATCCACATCCCAGTCTTCCTGTGGTAATGTGCCTTTCTTCTTCTTTATCTGTTTATTTCAGCTGAGGATGGAAAGGAGTTGGTCAGCCCTTGTTTGTCTCCAGGTTTCACAGGAGAGTGGGAACATGCTGAAGTAACATACAGAATTTCAGGACAGAAGGCAGGTACGGTGGAGTTCTCATTTGTAAGTGGTGTGTAAGGGTTAAGAATGGCAGCCTGACCATATGATCCAGCAATTGCACTACTGGGTATTTACCCCAAAGATACAAAAGTAGGGATCCAAAGGGGTACGTGCACCCCGATGTTTATAGCAGCAATGTCCACAATAGCCAAACTGTGGAAAGAGCCAAGATGTCCATCGACAGATGAATGGATAAAGAAG